TATCGATTGATATTGCGCAGTCCTTCTACAAGGACAGACGCCATAATCTCATGGTCATGTCGGTGGGGCTAAGTGGCTAACTCCTTATCTCCCGAGAGCTCCACTGAGTGCGCTATGTCTCCTCGTCTGAAGTCTTGTATAGGACAGGCCATGGAAGACTTTTCTTCTGAAATATACATATGATTTTTTTTTTTGGGTTTTTCCCCTGTTATCTGGAGTTTCGCTTCAATTAATCTAAATAATCCGCTTCAATTAATCTAAATCATCCGCATCATGCACTTGGAGTTGGTGGATGAGTCTCCTAACGGATTGTTGCATAAGATTTTAAATTCGAGATCTTATTTAAATTGAAACAAATCGCTTACTACTTGATCCAACTCTAGTAGGTGAAATATACATATGATTATGTATACAAAAAACTGTACTTTTTTAGGTTAGGAATCCACACCTCCATGGTAAAGAACCTAAGAAAACTGCAAAATAGAAATATGCATGCGTACGTGTATTATAAGTAAATTTGAACATAGAGGTATTAAATATGAAAAAATTATTTGTTTGACAGGAGGAACATTTGCACTGTACTCGCTGATTTGCCGGTACGCAAAGGTGGGACTGACCCCCAGCCAGCAGGCGGAGGACTGTGATGTCTCTAATTTCAAGCTCGAATTACCCAGCAAGCGCCTCAGGCTAGCTGCCAGCCTCAAGTCCAAGCTCGAGAGCAGCAAATTCGCTAAAGTTTTCCTCCTCTTGGCTACCATGCTCGGCACTTCCATGGTCATGGGCGACGGCATCCTTACCCCTTCCATGTCTGGTAATTTTCTAACCATAATTATAATAATAACAACAATTCTGCAATTGATTCTAGAGAAATTTTCTGCCTTTAGATTGACCATAGCAAATGGTACGAGACAGGGTAGTTGAGGGAGCTGTGGATTTTAAATTAGGTTTCTAGGAAGAATCATGGTCGATTTTGTGCTTGAGTGTTTTCTGCTTATGATTCGCAAAGTCCGAATTTAGAAGTCGGCGCTATTGATGTTTTTTCTCGTATTTTATTCTCTCATATCTTTGACTCTTTTGTGCTGATTTTCTTTGTTGTGAAATCAATGGCAGTGTTATCAGCCGTGGCTGGTCTCAAGAATGCTTCACCTAAAATGACAGAAGGTATTACTTATTTTATTATCATAATATCGGCTTCGTTTTAAGTTTCTGCATGATTTAATTCATTCTATTGAATCTGTTATAGGTTTTAGCATTTTAGCTGACTGATTTTGAACATTAAGAGTGAAGATGCATGTTGAATTGGAATCTTTAGGGTACTTAAAAAATATTGGTTTTTGCGGCTAGCATAAAGACTGGGAAATGTAACAATAGGTAGTTCAAATGGGGACAAATTTTGTTTATGTTGAATCTTGATGCCAAAGAAACAGTGCAATTGGTAGAGGAGCACTGTGAATCTGGGTTTAACTGGAGAAAACTTACTACCATAAAATTTGTTGGTATTTTAATTGTAACAAGAAACACAAGTTTATATCAGTGGTACAACCCATTTCAGATATGGACCATACAGTTTGTATATCTGATTGGGGCTGGCCATAGGTCCATAGTTTCTTAATTTGGCCTGATGAGCTGCTAGAATTTTTGTTCAAGAATTGATGTTTGTACCCAACAAACATATTTAATGTGCATTGGCAAAAGAGGGAAAGAAAATCAAGCTGCTAATTTAGTATTGTGCTTTATACAGGGATGATTGTTGCAATTTCAGTTGCCATCCTGGTCTGTCTCTTTGCTGTTCAAAGACTTGGTACTGACAAAGTAGGCTACAGTTTTGCTCCCATAATTTTTGTTTGGTTCACAATGATTGGTGGAATTGGGGCTTACAATTTTGTGAAGTTTGATCCAAGAGTTATCAAAGCCGTAAATCCAAAGTACATTGTAGATTACTTCCTTAGGAACAAAAAGGAAGCATGGATTTCCCTCGGAGGCGTCGTTCTTGCAATAACAGGTTTCCATTTCTCTAATTTCTCATTCAATTGATTTATTTTACCCTGTTACTTTTTCTTGAAATAAGAGTTCTGACTTATGTATTGGAACTTTGATGCAGGAACTGAAGCATTATTTGCTGATGTTGGCCATTTCACAGTTCGGTCCATACAAATAAGCATGTGCACAATTACATACCCAGCTTTGGTATTGGCATATACTGGACAAGCCTCCTTTCTACGCAAGAATGGGGAATTCGTTTCTGATGCTTTTTACAAATCAGTGCCGCACCCCCTCTATTGGCCAATGTTTGTGGTAGCTGTGTTAGCCTCAATCATAGCAAGTCAGGCAATGATTTCAGGGACTTTCTCTATAATCCAACAATCACTCTCACTGGGGTGTTTCCCTCGTGTGAAAGTCGTTCATACATCACCCAATCATGATGGACAAGTGTACATTCCTGAAGTAAATTACCTTCTGATGCTGGCTTCGATAGGGGTCACAGTTGGTTTCAGGACCACTGATAAGATTGGCAATGCATACGGTAATTTAATCAATAACCATCCAAAATATCCTGCATCTTCTTTAGATTTTGAAGTTTAAGCACGGATACTAATAACAAGTTAATTTCTTCATACAGGGATTGCAGTGGTCTTTGTAATGGCTCTCACATCGTCCTTGCTGGTGCTCATCATGATAATGATATGGAAATGCAACATATTTTTCATAATTGCCTATGTGCTTGTCATTGGATCTGTGGAGCTAACGTATTTAAGCTCAGTCCTATACAAATTTGCTCAAGGGGGATACTTACCACTGGCTTTTGCAACATTTTTGATGACTGTAATGTTCGTCTGGAACAATGTTTATCGGAGGAAGTACTACTATGAGCTCGATCACAAGGTTTCCCCTGAAAAGTTAAAGGAGATCACTTCTGACAGAAACATCTGTAGAATTCCTGGCCTCGCCATCTTTTACTCAGAACTTGTTCATGGCATCCCTCCCATCTTCAAGCATTACGTGGCCAATGTACCAGCTCTGCACTCAGTCCTCGTTTTTGTCTCTATCAAGTCACTTCCCATCAGCAAGGTTCCAGTGGAAGAGAGGTTCCTTTTCCGAAGAGTACATCCAAAAGACCTTAACGTGTTCCGCTGTGTTGTCAGGTATGGATATACAGATGTGCAGAATGAGGATGAGTCATTTGAGAACATGTTAGTTGAGAAACTGAAGGAATTCATAAGAGATGAGCTCTGGGCATCTCAAATGGGCAGCAATGCTAGGGTTGCAGATGAAGACCAAGAACTAGGGGAAGGAATAATAGTTAATGGAGAGAACGAAGACAAGAATCAAGAGCAGCAAGAGGAGGAAGTGGAGAAAGAAATTGAAGCCATAGACAAGGCAATGCGTGCTGGAATTGTCCACTTGTTTGGAGAGAATGAGGTGATAGCAGGGAAAGGAGCTGGGTTTGGTAAGAGGATATTGATAGACTATATGTACGATTTCTTGAAGAAGAACTTGAGACAGACTGATAAAATGTTTCATATACCTCACAAACGCAAGCTCAAAGTTGGGATGACATATGAGCTGTAGAACAATGTAATGTGGAAAGGGGAAATAAGTCCTATCACCCATGCGAAGGCAGAATTATAACCTTATGCCTTTTTCTT